CGGAGAGATAGTACAGCAGGGAGGGTACTTACCTTATCCTTGGCCTACTCAGGTTCAATCCCCAGCACCCCATAGGGTCCCCCAAACCCCACCAGGAGTGATTCCTGAGCACAGAGCCAGGAGTAAGCCCTGAGCACAGCTAGGTGTGTCCCATAAACAAAACAATAAAGGAAAAGAAGAATGCCAAGGTGTCTGTGTTTCCCACATGAAAGATGAAATGTGAATGCGCTGCATTACTGTAAGACCACTGAATCAATCTCCTTTTTTGTCTGTTTATTTTTCTGTGGGGTACACCCAGACGTGCTCCAGACTTACTCTTGGCTCTGCTCAGGGCTTACTCCTGGCAGGCTCAGGGGACCATATGTGATGCCAGGGATTGAACCCGGGTTAGCTCTGTGCAAGGCAAGTGCCCTATCTTCTGTACTCTCTCACGCCTTATACCATGTTTTTGTCGCATCTCCCCAGTATTCAGAGCCCTAAACCACTCCAGAAGATGCTCTGCACCTCAGTGCTCAGGCCCCAGGATCCATGGTTCTGGGGCCACCAGTTCTACACCCCAAAGGCTGGGATTAAATTCACGGCCTCTGGGCTGGAGCAATAGCACAGTGAGTAGGGTGTTTGCCTTGCACCATATGAGATGCTGGGTTTGATTCCCAGCATCCCATATGGTCCCCCAAGCACTGCCAGGAGTAATTCCTGAGTGCAGAGCCAGGAGTAACCCCTGCATTTCCAGGTGTGACCCAAAAGGAAAAAAAAATTCACGGCCTCGCAATGTGTGTATGTGTGTGTGTGTGTGTGTGTGTGTGTGTGTGTGTGTGTTCTCGCTCACACGCTCACCAGCCGAGCTATCTCCCTGGCCCTGCATCTCATCCACATCCCCAATCTAAGGTTCTCTGCAAGTTGTTAGTCTCTCTTTCAACTCAGCCAAGAAGGTAACATTGGTGCTTTCCTTTAAAAATTTTTGTTTTCCCTGACTGGTAAATATGTCTCAGTAGGCTTGGGAATAATAGAGACTCCAGTGAAGATATCTTAGATAGTTGGGCAGCTGTAACCTAAGTTAAGGGAAAGAAATGTTGGTTACTGCTGCTGGTGCACATAAACAAAAGGGGAAGTTTTTAGCCTGCTCCTGCAGTGCCAGTTCTGAAGGGAAGTTTGAGGGAATCATGGCACCGGGCCCATCTGTGCAGCTGTAACAGCAGAACACCAGGTGGGTCTGGAGCGATAGCACAAAGGGTGAGGCACTTGCCTTGCACAAAGCAGACCTGGGTTTGATGCCTGGCACCCTATATGGTCTCCTGAGCCTACGAGGAGTGATCTCTGAGTGTTGGATAACATTGGGTTGTCCTTGTTTCTCTCAGAGGGAGCTTAGGTTTATTGAGTTACTCCCACAACAGTGCCCCTGAAGCACACCCAATTCCATCAAGCACCAATAATCCTATATTTCTCTTCTCTTTCCTTTATGTCCTTTGCATGGTTTAGCAATGTTCTTTTTGTATAGACACAGGAAGACAGTTGATGCCATGCTTTTGCAACATGGGAGTTAACTGATTCCAAAAAAATATTTATTCCTGGGCATCCATCATATTTACTGACTTAAACCTCAGTTGCCCTTACTTCCTAATACCTCCAAAAGGAGGGTCCCAATGAAGGAACTGGATGGACCCAGGGCAAGCTGTAAGCTACCCTGGCATCAAAAGGGAACAAGTTAAGCACCATAGGTATACAAGTTAAAAGCATAGTCATGGAACAAAATGCTGTTATGACCCAAAAAGAAGTAACTGAATAAGACCCTGCTGGGGTTAGGAAAGATTAACCTGGCCGGAGGGCTGTAGTCTGAGATACCTAGTGAGATGTCCCCAGGAAGAGGCAACCTTTAAGATTAACATATCTCTTGATTTTGTCCTTGAGTTAATCCCCTAGAACTTCCCCTGAAGGAGTGGCTTTACCTCTGTTCGTTATTATGACAATGTTCAACCCCACATATATGTACCCCGACCCTTCAGGATTTTTATATAATTATGCTGTAAGGGGAGAGTGGGGACTATGATGAAGATAAGGACTAGACAAGAACTAGTTGAGGACTAGGGGGTGGAACTAGGGTGATGGAACTATGATGACTTTGACTATGACCAAAACTATGACTACGACTGTGCTATCAGACTAGTCTGGGGAGGAGAGAGGAATAAATTGACTAACAACGAGCCTGGGCCCCTGTTTCTCTGTTCCCTGGTCCTGCATCCGTCTGTTGTCATGGGCCGGCCAGGGGAATGGTTCTCGGCCACTGAATGCTCGAGTCCCACACATCCCCATGCCTTTCTCTTGAAAACTCACACCTGAGCACAGAGAAGAACGCCAGGAACAGCATTAGTCATTCCACATTTTCACTTATATTTGGCATCATGAGGTCAACGCATATCTAGGGGTCTTCTAGACTTAAACTAGAGACGGGCACTTTGCCTTGCATGCAGTAGAACCTGGGTTTGACCCTTGGCATTCCATATGGTTCCCCAAGCACCGCCAGCAGTAATTCCTGAGTGTAGAGCCAGGAGTAACCACTGAGCAATGCCAGGTGTAGCCCCAAAACAGAACAACAACAACAACAAAAATAGACTTAAATTGGAAGGCAAAATCCTAATAGGACATGGTTATCTGGTCCCCTTTGAAAACACTGAGAAAATCAAGCTGAGTTCACATATCAAACTTTTTTTATATTTTCCTGCCACACCTGGTAGGTAGTATTCAGGGGACCATATAGTAAGGGGTGGAACCAGGGGTTCACAGCTTGATTCATGAGTCATGAGTTCCAGCCCAGTAAGACCTCTGCCCACTCCCTAGTGGTCACTTTTATTTTGTTTTGGGGGCCACACCAAGAGGTGTTCAGGGCTTACTACTGGCTCTGCACTCAGGGATTATTCCTGATAGAGCCCAGGGTATCATATGCGGTGCCAGGAGTTGAACCCAAGGTGATCAGGACTACTGATCACTTTTAACCAGACTCTCTATGGAGCCCAGAAATAGGACTTTTCTCTACTAACGAGAGCACAGCTCATTTCTCATTGGAAGTCTGGGGGCCAGGGAGTTAAGCCCAAGGGGATTTCCTTGCAAGCAGTCAACCCAAGTTCCATTCCCAGAATCACTTAAGGTCCCCTGAACACCACCAGGAGTGTTCCCTGAGCACAGAACTACGAATAAGCACAAGACAAAATAAACGAAAACAGAATACCAAGGCCTTTACCCACCTCTGTGAAATAGGATGGATTAAGCTGTACAGGTTAAAGAGATTTTGCTTGGTCACTCAAAGGAAGGAGAGCCTGGGTGAGGAGTAGGCAAGCCTTAGCTTTGGGGGAGAAGTTGGAGCCAGGAATGAATCACAGATCAATAAACCCCAGGAAAAAACTAGCCTGAGCTCCCCACTCCCTTGTTCATTTTCTTTGCCCATCCCCTAAGCCGACTTGTGAGAAGGCAATTCTGCTGATTAGGTAAAATTACTTTTTTTTTTATTTTGTTTTTTGTTTTTGGGTCACACCAAGCAGTGCTTGGGGCTTAATAGGAAACAACTTTGGAGAATGTTTATCTTGATATGTAAACAAGCATTTGACTTACCCACAGAATTCACAAGTGTTCCCCAAAGGGAGGAAAGATGACCAGAATTAAAGGCTTTGAAAAGACTGAGAACAGGAACAGAGAGATAGTGCAGGGCGTAAGGTGCTTGACATGCTTGCTGCCCACCCCAGTGCAATATCCTGAGCATCATGGGGTTGGCCCCAAGCCTCTCCCACCCCCAAAGACTGAGAAAAGTGGAAATGATAGTTCAGTGGTGGTAGGGTGGTGCTTGGCATGCATGAACCCTGGGTTCTATCACTGGCACACGTGAGTGCATGTGTGTACTCAGAGAGAGAGAGAGAGAGAGAGAGAGACAGAGACAGAGACAGAGACAGAGAGACAGAGACAGAGACAGACAGAGACAGAGAGACAGAGAGACAGAGAGACAGAGAGAGAGAGAGAGAGAGAGAGAGAGAGAGAGACAGTCACTACGTAATTACAGTACACCAGGAAACCCTTCTGATGATAAAACTTAAAACTTTGAGAAATCTGCCAATTTCAGCCCAACCAGTAGAAAACTCAAACAATTTTCTTTCCTTCTTTTTCTTTTTTTAAAGTCACAGCATCACTTCAACCCAAGGTTAATTGGAATGAGAACCACAGAGTGTGTACAGAGAAAAGCAACAGTTTTAAAAAGCATAAAAGCATGAAGACGGCACGTAAGTTTTTATACAAATTTGAATTCTCTTGCAAAGAGAACAAGGCTCGACAGGACACATCGTAGGCTTCCACAGAGTTTCTGAAGAGTAGCTTCACGGAAAAAAATGGGGTGCATGGGAGACAGAAAGTCCCTGTAGCAATGCACGGACTCAGCCCGGGTGCATCGCAGCCCGGAACAGCCCTGCGTTCCTTACAGACACCTTGACCCAAAGCAGAGACAAGCATTGCTGACTAATCCTCCGAAGAAGGAAACGCAGAAAAAAAACAAAACAAAAAAACCGCTCCCGTCATCTCAAGGGCTGTGGCGTATTTATTGGGAGCTGGCGGGGGGGGGGGGGGGGGGGGGGGGGAGGGAGGCTGAGGTGGGTGGAAAGGGCCGGGAAATCTTCTTTCGTGGGCTCAATGTTTGTGCCCCCAATTAACCCACTCCACCAACTGTGGGAATTTCCAGTTGTAACGGCCGAACAATTTTGTTTTCAACGAGGGACTCCAGAATCTTGCAGTTTGCATTTTTGAACGTGTCCTCAATACGCACCCCTAAGGTTCAGGCACCTGACCCAAATAAGAGTAATAAGGGTGGTAGATAGGACCCCCAGAACATAGAGTGCATTTTTCTTTTCTTCCCTAAAGTATGGACAGGTTTTTTTTTTGTCCCCTATAAAACTGAGACCTGAAAAAAAATTAGTAAAAATGCAAACCCCTTGCAGTCCCGGACGCGCGGGGCCCGGGGCGCCCCACTAGACGCCCCCCTCCTCGGCCTCGCTGCAGGGCGAAGGCGCAGAGGAGGTCTTGGACTCGCCGTCGCTGTTGCACTCGGCCCGGCACGGCGGGCCGGCGCCGTCCAGCAGCTCCTGCAGGTGCTTGATGTAGCCGATGGCTGCGCGCAGCGTCTCCACCTTGCTGAGCCGCCGCTCCGCCAGCTCCCGGGGCAGGTGCTCCCGCAGGCGCGCGTAGCCCTCGTTGACGCAGCGCACCCGCTGCCGCTCGCGCTCGTTGCGCTTGCGGAGGAAGGCGGGCTCGAAGGCGCCCTCCAGCGGCAGCGGCAGGTAAGGCCGCCGCGGGGCGGCCCCGGCCGCAGCGTCCAGGCGCCAGGAGGAGCCCCTGCAGGGGTCCCGCCGCGGCAGGCGCGACAGCGTTCCCCCGGGCATCCCCAGCGCCGCGGGGCGGAGGTGGTAGGGCAAGCTCAGCAGCGCTCCGGGTTTGCGTCTCTCCATCCTTCGCCGGCGGATTTTACGAGCGACGCGCGGCGGAGGTTTAAACTCGCGAGCGGAGAGGCGGGCCCATGCGGGATGCGCGCGGGCGCGGCGGGGCCCCCACGGGACGGGGTTCTGCACCCCCACCCGCCCCAACGGGTGGCGTCAAGGAAACTCGGCAAGCTTCCCTTGCTGCATGGCACACGCTCGAATCTCTCCTTGCCTTCTCTCTGTTTTCAATCAAGAGCAGACGGAGCTGGTAGCCCACAAGTGGGACTCTCCAAATCCACGCTTGGAATCCTTGGCGCTTATTTCAAAATATTGGTAACAGTAGCAGCAGCGGCAGCAGCAACAGTAACCCAAGGGTTCCTCTCGGCCGCCTCGCCTGTAGAGGGGCGCACACGCCAATCACCGGGGAAAGTCCAAGCACGGGCTCCTGCGCCTTCGCCTTCGGGCTCCCGGCGCTAACGCGTCCCCGTCCACGTCCCCGCCGAACCCCTCCGGGGAAGCAGCCCCCTCCCCTCGGCAGCGGCTCAGGGAAAGTGCACCCGAGGCTTTCTCCGGGAGAAACCTCCACTTGCCTGCTCTCTGCGGTTTCCGCCGTCCAGAGCTAATGGGAAGAGCTTTGAGAATGTTTGCAAACCAACACTTGCTCTTTCATTTCGGAGGAGGTGGAGACAGGCGCTCATCAAAGGGAAGCTGCTCCCTGCGGTTACAAGATGTGTCAAGTCAAGGACGACCCCAGGGGAGGTTTGCGGGGGTTTCTTCTCCCAAAGCAAACCTAAAAAAGAAAAAAGAAAGGAATAAATAATAGAAAAAAGAAAAGAAAAAAAAGTGGACTTTAATTTTTTTCCTTCATCGGGAAGTAAAATGTACCTTCGCGACCTAGATAAGCGTCCACTTATTCTGCTCCCATTCTGCTGAATTGGTCAGGGCTTTGTGTTTGTTCCATCTTTTTTTTTTTTTTTAAGAGCACACATCAAAAGACGGAGCAGGAACAAACACTCTGGCCAGAGTTCTTTCTCCCTGTGCTTACTGTAAACACAGCTTAAACACAGCTTCCCGACTTCTCCTAATCCCACTCAGGATGTAAGGACATCATCATCTTTCCATAGTGCTGGGTGTATTTCCATCGTGTGTGTGTGTGTGTGTGTGTGTGTGAGAGAGAGAGAGAGAGAGAGAGAGAGAGAGAGAGAGAGAGAGAGAGAGAGAGAGAAAGGGAGAGAGGGAGAGAGAGGGGGCTAAAGAGAGAGATGTAGTTTATTTTTCTCCCTTGGGGCCAGGAAAGCAACATTTGAAAGGTGGAGAGCCCCGATTCTAAGGGAGAAAGGATACTGGCTTTGAAGACTTGTCTTCTTAACCCACAACCCAAAAATGAATAATTAATCCATCCATGTTGTTGAAGGGCTTTGAAGATGAAAGTACCATTAAAAATCCCAACTGCACTGGTTAATGTCAAAGAATGTGTTATCACGCCGAAAATCAGATTCCTGTTCAGTAAACCAGCACATTAAAGGCAGCTTCTACTTGAAACATCCAACTTAAAAACAAGAGGAAGAAAAAGCCCCTAGGTTTATGATGAGACTTTCTGCCTCTGACTCCTTGGCGGCCAAGGAGTGGTCCTGACATGCGGTTTCTCTCTCGCTGTTTACTCTGATGATCAGCCTGAAGGAACTGAAAAAAAAAAAAACTCTTCCATCCAGGCAAATGAAATAGAAATAATTACTCCTCATGGGAGTACAGTGGGTAAGGCATTTTCCTTGCATGCCATTTACCTGGGTTCAATCCCCAGCTTTCCGTATGCGCCTCTGAGCCCGACCAGGAATGACCCGAGCACAGAGCCAGGAGTAAGTCCTGAGAGCTGTTGGGTGTGGCCCAATGACCAAAAACTATGACTGTAATTTTAGAAACCCTAGAAGGTCATCTTTAAGAAATAGTTATAGTCCTTATAGACCAAACATGATTGTCACCCACTGTCTCTTTTGCAAACCACAACACCCAATTAGAGAGAAAGAGAGAACAAAAGGGAATGCCCTGCCACAGAAGTAGGATGGGATGAGGGGGATGGGGGGTGGGAGGGATACCGGGACCCGTGATGGTGGGAAATGGGCACTGGTGGAGGGATGGGTATTTGATCATTGTATAATTGAAACCCAAGCACAAAAATTTGTAAGTCTACAACTGTACCTCATGGTGTCTCACTAATAAAAATTTAAATAAATAAATAAATAAATAGTTATAGTCCAGTGAGCAAGAATCTTGCCTTGCACATGGTTGACTCAGGTTTGATCTCTGGCACCCCATAGAGTCCCCTGAGGACTGTCAGGAGTGATTCCTGAGTGCAGAGCTAGAAGTAACCCCTGAGCATGTTAGGTGTGGCCCCAAAACCAATAAACAAAGAAAGAAACAGTTACAGGTCTGGAGAGATCACTCAGAGGGTGAGCACTTGCTCTGCAGTGAGAGGGTTCACAGCTGGGTCTGACCCCCACAATGAATCCCAGTTGTGACTCTAACTCTCTGTGCCTCCGCTTTAAAATCGAACTCAGAGCCAGATGACAGTACAGTGGTTAGGGCACTTGCCTTGCAGGTTGCTGACTGGGGTTCGATCCCCAGCATCTCATGGGTTCCCCCATCTCCCAGTCCTGCCAAGAGTAATTCCTGAGTGCAGAGCCAGGAATAATCCCTGAGCATTGCTGGGTGAAAAAAAAATAAAAATCAATCAATTAGTTAAACTCGAACTCTATGTTGTAGGTAAATGGACTAAGAAGGCCTCCATGACAAACTACCTTCTGTGAACTTCATTATCTGCTCATCTGAAATCTGATAAAGGCAGAATGTGGATGATGTGGTTCCTGAGTGGGAAGTCACTGATGGGCAAGTTGCATCTGGATGGCAAAACTTTAAAGGGATGGCAGGGAAAAAAATAAGGGGGTGGGGAGAATAGCTTCGGGCCCCTGTGAGCAGGGAGAAGATGTGAACTGGGCTCACCCGGATCTCTGGCCTGTGGTGTCCATGCAGGAAACCCTGAGACAAAGAGCAGTCAGGGTGGCCTGCCTCAGTTTGCTTGGATCCTGAGATCAGAGCCGCAGGATGGCCAGCGGCAGAGCGAGAAGGACGGCTGGGTGAGACGGCATGTGAGACCCAGGCCCACCCTGCGCTGGCATTCCTGAGGAAAATCCTTCCACATGAACTTCACAGCAGGTATAGAAGCAGAGAGACCCCACCAGGGCCTTCAACAACCTCTTCGACAACTTCGACAACGGTTTTCTAACACCTGAGGGTGCCCGGGCAGTGGCCACATGCTAAAAACACCATAACACCAGGAGGGGGCACTGGACTGCAGAGAGAAGAACTAGTCGGGTGGCACAGGCTGCAGCGCACACTTTTTTTTTCTTTTTGGGTCACACCCAGCAATGCACAAGGGTTCCTCCTGGCTCTGCACTCAGGAATTACTCCTGGCGGTGCTCAGGGGACCGTATGGGATGCTGGGAATCGAACTTAGGTCAACCGCGTGCAAGGCAAATGCCCTACCTGCTGTGCTATCACTCCAGCCCCCTGCAGCTCACACTTATGCTGTAGTAAAAAGTAACTGGGTGGCAGTGGGGGGCTGGATCGAAGAGTACAGCAGATAGGGCACTTGCCTGGCACCTGGCTGACTCAGGTTCGATCCCTGACATCCCTAATGGTCACCCAAGCATCACCAGGAATAATTCCTGAGTACAGCAGAGCCAGGAGTAAAGCCCTGAGCATCACTGGGTATGGCCCCAAAACTAAAATTTAGTTTAGGCTCAAACTAAAAATATTTTGTTTACCATCACTTTTGACATTGCATAAGACCATTAGTAATGTTCTTGTCTTTTTTTTTTTTCTTTTGATTTTGGGGCCACCCTTGGCTTTGTTCAGGAATCACTCCTCGCAGACCTAGGGGACCGGGGATTGAACCCAGGTTGACAGCATGCAAGGCAAGCCCCTACCCATTGTACTATCTAGCCCCAGTTCTTATCTTTTCTTCTTAAATTTCCATCTTCCTTCAATAGCAAATATCAATCCTTGGGGTGTTATCCTAGACCCACTGAATTTTTGCCTTTTAAAATATTTGAAATGGGGCCAGAGAATACAAGGATTGAGGCCCTTCCCTTGCATTTGGCCAGCTCCCATTCAAGTCCTCGACACTGCATGTGCTCCCTGAGGACTGCCATGAGTCACTCCTGAGCACAGAGCCAGAGATGGCCCCCAAGCACCACCAGGTGTGGCCCCAAAAGCAAATGAATAAATGTCTAAGTTAGGGCTGGAGAAATAGTACAAAGGTTAAGGTTCCTGCCTTGCACGTGGTTTCTCCAGCTGGGTCCCCTGAGCACTGCCAGGAGTGATTCCTGAGCAAAGGAGGAAGCCCCGAGCATAGCCAGGTGTGGCCCGCCATCCCCTGTAAATATCCAAAATAGGTCAGAACCATATACGTTTAATTAACTAGGTTGAAAATTCATTCCCAAACCACTCACACATAGGTCAGAGGTCATCCATGTAAATAAATTGTCAATAGAATGAAGCTTCCTGTTTAATACTATAGCTCTGTGATTTGCTGGGTGTAAATGAAAGTCACATGTCTGTTATTCTGTGTCTTAGAATAGCAAGCATGTGACTTTCAGAACAGCAAGGCTCAGAGACTATTCCCAGTTTGGGGCTTGGCTGTTGTTCTCTGCAGTCCTCAGGGTCTCTCAGCACTGCAGCCAGGGTGATCACCCACAGGTATTATTAGATTAGTTCCTTCAAGTTAGCTCAACATCCTGGTTTTATTTTATTTTTTGTCTGTTTTGGGACCAGACCGGATGATGGTCAGGGCTTACTTCTGGCTCTGTGCACAGGGATCTCTCTTGGTGGTGCTCAAGGGACCATAAGGGATGCTGCAGATTGAACCTGGGTTGTCCTTGTGCAAGACGAGTGTCCTAGCCACTATACTATCTCTCCAGCACCAACACTCCTATTTTAAAGTCCAAAGAGACAACAGAACACACTATTTTTTA